AATTTTTTATGTACGTTGATCAATTTATATTAATATTTTGTAATATATATTCGAAATGGTAAAAGACAAAAAAATTTACAAAGCACAACGCGAAAAAACAAAGCGTGGGGGCTTTCTTTGCACCTGAACGCTGAAACTTTGCTTATTTGTGGAGTGCAGTGAACACCAAATTTTTAGAGTTATGAAAGTGAGAAAATAGTCAAAGTAGAAGGACGAGTGAGTAAAATTCCAAAGCACAACTATATTAAAACAGGAAGTAGTGGCGCAGCCGTCGCGAGTCTTTGCTCTGAATGAACCCTAGCAAGAAGCTGCCTAACGCAGAAACAAGGAGAGAACAGCAAAATGGTGACCGGCAAGAAAACAGTACAGCTTCCCTCCTCTTCTCTTCTCTTCACTTCTCTTCACTTCTCTTCACTTCTCTTCACTTTCCATGTCGACCCTCAATTTTTCATAGTTTAATTCTTGCTTTTGCATTACAGAAAAAGACCCATGAGAGCCTCAACAACAGGCTCGCCCTCGTCATGAAGAGCGGCAAATACACTCTCGGCTACAAGACGGTGCTCAAGTCTCTCAGGAACTCCAAAGGTTACATCTTTATTTTATTTTATTTTTTAAAAAAATGTCTCAAGAAAAACGAATCTGTTTTGATTTTGAAATTGTTGATTTTTTTATAGGAAAATTGATAATTATATCAAACAACTGTCCCCCACTGAGAAAATCTGAGATCGAGTATTATGCTATGCTTTCTAAAGTTGGGGTTCACCATTATAATGGAAGTAAGTGTTTTTTCTTTTAATTTTCAGTGCTTTTGTTAAATTTGGTTCTTTGTTGATTCTGGATTGCTGCTTATCTTGCTCCTCTTGTTATGTTGTATGTGCTTCGTTTGCTGAAGTATTGGATTGTGTAAACTGTTGAAATTAAAGCTAATTTGATTCAGACTCTTGGAATATAACTACTGGTGATGTTTCGGGTAATGAAGTATTTTGAGGAAAACATTAGTATGCATCTTAATTAATTAAGTTTGATATGATGGAAAATGCGGGTTCAAATCCCTTCATATGGGATTAGTTGGCCCAAAGATCTAGACACCCATGTTATCTCAAAAAATATGTTGCTGAAATCAAGCTGAATTTCATTCATTTGGCCATTTTAACTTGTTGATACTGAAAATCAGAGTATCCGCTATTTGATCATGGTATTGTTGCTTGATTACAAATGTGTGTCTTTGCCAGCTTGATTTGTGGTTTCTGTGATATATAGGTGAAATTTACGTTGCCATAGGCAATTTGTTGGTAGAAAGGAATAGTGGATGATTATACGTTTCTTGCTTACATGGTTATGGCTACCTCATTAAATTTCCACTGATTTTATTTATCATATGGTTTGACACCGATATCTTTCTGTTCATATTTTTCAGACAATGTTGACTTGGGAACTGCTTGTGGAAAGTATTACCGGGTCTCTTGCCTGAGCATTACTGACCCAGGTAACATATCTCTATTCTGTAACTTTTGTTGAATGTTTGGACTGCCATTTTTCTATTTGATTGTTGCAGATCATTGATTGCCCCTTTCTGTCCTGCAGGTGATTCTGATATCATCAAGACTCTACCAGGCGATCACTGAGCTGCAAGTTTAATCTCTGCCTGACGATTTTGTGACAGTAGAGTGACATTTTCTTTTACCATTTTATTAGAAGAAAATTTTGAGATAGTGATAAATGTTTGAGTGTTGGATGTTGCCAAAATATGTACCTTAAGCAGCAAATTTTACTTTTGTCAATGAAGATATCATGTCATCCACTCCAATTTGCATTTGGGTGTTCTAACATTATCAGGGAAATAGTGCAAGATGCATATGCTATACTTAAGGTTTATGCTATTTGATTTGCATTGCCAATGTATATGTTCAATTCCCATCACAGTTCACGTCTTTTGGAGTTGGGACCTTTTTCAATGGTCATGCCCTAATTGTTTGACTTTGGTATCTTATTTATTTTTTGGTTTCCCACCCGGTATCCGGGCTTCGCCCTGACTAATCTGGATTGACCCGAGTTGTGCACTTGGAAATGGTGGGTGAGTCTCCCAACGAAAGTTGCTGCGTATACAAGGTCTCAAACTCGAGACCTTACCTTAAGTTGGAACAAGCCGATTATCACTTGATTCAACCCCTCGTTGGTTGACTTTGGTATCTTTTTTTTTTTTTGGTTTCCCGCCCGGTATCCGGACTTCACCCTGACTAATCTGGATTGACCCGAGTTGCGCACTTAAAAATGGTGGGTGAGTCTCCCAACGAAAGCTACTGCGTATACAAAGTCTCAAACTCGAGACCTTACTTAAGCTGGAACAAGCCGCTTACCACTTAATTCAACCTTCGTTTGTTGACTTTAGTAACTTTATAACCACTAAAATACCAAAAAAACAACCAAAAGATCAACAGTCAAAAGGTTTAGAGCTTGGGGGCCCTAAATATGTCAATACTAGGTTGATGGATGCCATGACATTCATACAAGACAAATTTTGTCTGATTAGTCAAGTGATATTACAGGTTTCTTATTATTCCCTTACATTCAAACATTTATTTATTTTGTATTGGGTAAATTGCATTGTCATCCTGCTATTTGGAGCAGGTTCACTTCATACCACAATTACAAAATTGTGCTCGTAGCTCCAATAGCCACAAGGGGATGTGGATTTTTCTTTCTTTCTTTCTTTTCTTTGTAGTCAAAACATAGTTGATCGATGGGTTATGATTTACAAGAAACCAAGGACAAGGAGGCTTCCCTTTAATTTCCTACCCATTTGAATGCCATTATCATGACTCGGATTCGACCTTTGAGGCTTGTTTGATTTGAGGGGTGGGAGAGGAGCCTCTTTCAATAAATTAAAAAAAGAAAAAAGTCTTTAGGCCAACTCTTTAATTTGATTCGACAAAGAGAAATGATTTTGAAATAATCTTTTTATATCACATATTAATATAAATATATAATTTGACATATCATTTAAATAATTAATTTTTTTTAATTTATATAAAATTTATGATATTAAATATATTTATTTATTTATTTAATAATATGTAAAAATTATATAAAAAAAAAAATTATTCTTATAGTATCGGCAAAATAGGTTTTTCAACCATTGTAACATACAAAAAGTAAAGGAATTTATTTATTTATTTAATAATATGTGAAAATTATATAAAAAAATTATTCTTATAGTATCGGCAAAATAGGTTTTTCAACCATTGTAACATACAAAAAGTAAAGGACTCCAATAAACGTCTAAAAAGTTTTAGACCCAATTGACTAAACAGATTACAATAGTTTAGGATTCGATTGAAATCCCAATCTAAGGTCACGGACGATGAAATAGACTACCGAACACCCCTAAAGCCTAAACTAACGAACAACAACGTCCCCAACTTCCAAGGGTTTCTATAATTTAAAGTCAAACGTCGTCTTCCTAAAACAAATAAATAACAATCCAGCTTACGCCTAAAACCTTCCTGCATCCCTCCCTCCTCCTCCTTTCTCCTCCTTTCGAAACGTTTATTCGTAAAAACCGTTTCTAGGGTTTTACTAAGTTGTCAGAACCCACGTTTCTTTTCTGATTAAATCATCTTCTCTTCCAATAAATCTGTCATTTTGCCGCAAATCCCCCCAGTAATTTCACGAGCTTGTGATTTGCCTAATATGTCGTCGTTTTAGACCTCCTTCGTTTTCCCTAGCTTGGTTTTAGGGTTTATGTCACATGTAATTCCTTGATTCGCTCCGCAGCTTGTATTTGCTTTTGCAATTGAAGAGTTTTTTTTTTTTTTTTAATTTTTATTTCTTGGATTCGTTTTTCTTGGAATTCAAATTTGTTCTTTGTTGGTGGGTTTTGGAGGTGGAATGAATAGTGTCTTCAGTGAACAGATACTAGCAGATAAGCTCTCCAAGCTCAATAGCACCCAACAGTGTATTGAAAGTATCCTTTTCTTTCAAAAACTTGAATTAATTGGAATTAACAAGATAGAACTGTTTTTAGTTTTTTTTTTTTTTTTTTTTATACAGCTGCTAGCAGGAAATGGTAAATTGATGGTGTCTATATGTATATTTACCTTGTCCATTGGGTTGGCTTGAATGATGTGTTTCTGCAAGAAAGTTAGGACATTTGGCCTGAAATGTCAATGGGGTTTTTATTGAATTTAGTATAACGTTTTTTCCTTGACTTTCTGTAAAATAGCATTGTCACATTGGTGTATATTTCATCGGAGCAAAGCAGAACAGGTTGTTGCAACATGGGATAAACAATTCCATAGCTCAGAAATGGTTCAGAAAGTTCCTCTTTTGTACCTTGCCAATGACATCCTACAGAACAGCAAACGCAAAGGGAATGAATTTGTTACTGAGTTCTGGAAAGTTCTTCCGGCAGCTGTCAAAGATGTGCTTGAAAAAGGTGATGATCGTGGGAAGAGTGCGGTTTCTAGACTGGTAATTTCCTTTTTGATTCATCCAACAAGCATGGATTATTAGCTTTTTATATGAAAAATTGATCATTTATTGATTTTTAACTTGATATATTTTTTTATTGATAGAAGTTAAAGGTTTTGTTCTCATGTTTCGATGTGAAAAATGGTAACAAGATAGTTTGGCCTGGGTTTTGGTTCAATTTATGTTGACCTGGATCTTGTGAACATTGGAAATACACTCCTATGTTGGAAATCATGGTTTGCACTACTTCAGTTATTTGTCAATTAAATACATAGAAAAATTAGTGATGCTGAACTGCCTATAAATATGCTGCCAGTCAACAAATTTTCTTGGTGTTACACTATTTTGACATCTGCTTTGGTAAGTTATCAAGTTGAAGTGGCAAGTTTTAAATTATGAAAACTATTTTGTTCCATATCCATAGGTTGGTATATGGGAAGAAAGGAGGGTATTTGGTTCTCGTGCACGAAGCTTAAAAGAAGTGATGTTTGGTGAAGAAGTGCCCCCACCTTTGGAATTTAGTAAAAAACGATCGCGTTCTGTCAAGATTGTGAAGCGGGATTCACGATCCATTAGAACGGTAAGAAAAATGACCTTTCTTGTCTTTATGTTGCTACCCTGTACCAGTTTGGTTTGTTTCTCTCTGTACTAACCTGTTCACATGATTTACAAGTTGCTTACCCCTTCTATAAGTTTAATAAAGATTGTCTTCTTGTTATTTTGTTGCTTCTTGCATCAGAAATTATCCATTGGGGGATCAGCGGAAAAAATAGTGTCAGCCTTTCATTTGGTTCTCAGTGAACAGTCCAATGAAGATGAAGAGATGAACAAATGTAAATTGGCCGTTAATCGAGTAAGGAAGATTGAAAAAGAAGTGGATGTTGCTTGTACCATTGGTAAGCCAATGAGTTAAACTCTATGGCAGGCTTTTAAAGCTTGTGGTGGAATTTAGAAGGAAAAAACTGTGGTTGTCTGAAGTTAATCTTTTACATTTCAGCAAAAGATCCTAAACGAAAAAGTTTGGCAATGGAACTAGAGGAGGAAGAAAATCTTCTGAAACAATGCATCCAGAAACTTAAATCAGTTGAAGCAAGTAGAGTAGCACTTGTATCCCAGCTAAAAGAAGCTCTTCATGAACAGGTACCTGCATGTACTATAACTTATTTTAACAAGCCTCTACCTGTTCAACTAGGGCAAACAATTAAGCATTAGATAATAGTCATCCAGTTTTTATTCTTTCTGAAATTTTTTCAGGAATCTGAACTGGAGAATGTCCGAACCCAGATGCAGGTATGTTGCTACAACTGAATACATTGGATAATTGCTCTATTTTTCCAATGCAATTTGCTTAGCAATCTCATTTTTGGTGTTATTTTAGTTGCGAGTAATTGCCAAACTCCCTGTGTTTTTTGCTCATTTTCTAAGCAGGATTCTCCAATTATGTTAATCTGCTTTTTTCATGTATTTTAGGTTGCACAGGCACAGGCAGAGCAAGCCTGCAACATGCGGAGGCAACTTCGTGATGAAGACTACGTAACAAAACCATCTGCTACTATGTCAGCAAGTGATGCAGATACAAAAGGTGGACAAACACCTTGGAGGACAGCTGCAGCCATTGCAGCTGCAGTTGCAGACAAGCTTGCTGCTTCTAGTTCCTCTCAAATGATCATGCATTCTGTTCTCTCAACATTTGCAGCTGAAGAAGCTAAGAATGCTAGTCTATCAAAGGCCTCTGCTTATTCAAATTCTTTCACAACCATGCCCATAAATTCAGGTGCTGATTCCATTTCAAAATCTGAACAGCCAATGGCAGCTTCAGATCCTAATGTTTTTATGTCAGCACAACCACTTATGGCTACGGTTAACCATTCTTATCAATCAGCTCTTGTGCCCCAGCCAGCCATTCAAAACCAGGCCACGGCCTCGCAAGCTCCATATCACATCATTCCTCCATCGCAACAGTATTTACAGCCAACTGGTGGGGTAATGGCATATGGTGGTTTCAATAGCATACCACCAGGACCACTACCACCACCTCCCCATATGGTTAGCCCTATGGTACCATTGACACAGCAACCAATGCAAATAACCCAGCAGCAACAAATGCCACTGGCCCAGCAACCACCAGCACCTCCTAGTTTCCGGCCACTTCAGCCACCAGGAATGGTTTATTATGGTCAGCCACCCCATTCTTAGTAAATATAATCTTTTAGGCTGGGCGGATGTTTTCAAAATTTTGTTTGTGAGAAATTGCGGCGTTGTAATAATTTCTATGCATTAGTCTGACAATAACTATACTGGTATGTTCAAAATCATACCCTTAACACATTTGTGCCAGATGGGTTCCATTTCTTTTTAAAGAATGAACTTGATCCATGTATCCTGGTTATTCAAAAAGGGACCCTAGCACGGGTTGGCATCGTTTTCTTTCTTTCTCCTGTTGTAATTGGAATTTACTTTAGATGGATTGAGAACTTTAGGTAAGTCATACTCTCCTTACAGATCCTTTATTAAAAAAATAGATCGAAATACTTTCATACGAGTCTCACAAGAGCAGCATGTAAAGCTATAGAAAATATCCACAAAATAAAGAACAAGGAGGCATGTTCCTAAGTAGATGTAGAACTCAGCCTTTCATAGCTAGTCTAATGATGAAATCTCTAACAAAAAGCGGTAAATGGTACATGACTGCCATTATCGTGGAATAAGCACCGGATGAGTACCACGCTGGTGGGTTCCTTTTCAGCACTGCAGTTACAGTATTCTTTGCAAACACATCGGTTGGGGTTGACCTATTGTTTTGTGAAAAATGTGCTCTCTCTCGGATAGCAGCTTCAAATGGTTTAAATAACTTCCATTCAGGCATCCGGTTGTAGGTGGCTATGGCAGAATTAGCAATGTTTGACCTTATACCTCCAGGAACAACATTGATGACATCAATCCCGAAATGTCTGAGTTCCAATCTGCATATAACATACATAACACGAAGATATAGTGGTAGATATGGTAAAACAAGCACCTAAAAGATCACATGATCAAACTTTTCTGGAAGGCAGGAAATATCATGCTGCCAAATCTACGAAATGCATTAATCTTTTACCAAGTACATTTAGCATATATTTGAGAGCTTGTTCCATCTTAGCATCCATCTGTGGCAACATTTATATCTTTTGATGACCAGAGAGGTTTAGAAAATGAATTTAAGACATTCTTTGTTGTTTATCCAGATATCAACTTATAACAGCATACCTCAAAGTATCAGTTAGTGCATGAAGAGCAGCTTTAGAAGAAGTGTAGACACCACTCCACGGTCCAGGAGCCATTACAGTAACACTCCCAATGTTCACAATCTTCCCTTTTTTCCTAGATGCCATGTGTGGTACAACAGCTTGAACCATTCTCATGGAACCTGTAATTGGGTAGAACACTGATAAGTACAGGAATAATGGTGGTATCTTCACAAACAGCAAAAATCGAAATCCTTCAAACCATGTAACAAGAGGCCTTCCATCTATAGTTCAATTCTAATGCTTGAGAAATTCTACAATAAATTTTACAATCACACAATCTGATAATCATAACTTCTATCTGCCCAGCATGTTGTCACTGACTTCAGGCATCATCTGTCAATCCCTTTTATCATGAAGAGAAGAGGTTTACTATTTGACATTACCAACTTTCTGTTTTATGTTCAGTTGTGATGTTTAGCCATTACAAATCCTCAACCACTCTCAAATTAAAAAAAAAAAAAAAGGCAGTTAGGTATTAACAGCTAGAGAAATAGTCAAGGGGGAAATAGAAATTCTAAATGACTTATCCTTACTAATGGGAACTACCAAATACGGATTAGAATAGAATTGGGAAAAGAGAGCCAAAGAAGCAACTCAGATTGTTGGATCAATTCTCAGGCTACTTACGATATACTAGGGCACTATTAGGACTTGACAATTGTTACAGGCTATAGATAATATGACAGTAGGTAACAACTAAGAAGAAAAGTTTGATTAACTCTAAATTAGCAGCTTGAGATAGGAAAAGAATGTATGCATAATGTATTGCCAGTAAGCTCAAACAAAGAGGGCCGAGAGTACCTGCCACTTACAAGCAAAAACTTTTTCATCTCACAATCCCCATAACATCTCTGGCTGTCTACCTTCTAAAATTAACACTAACCCAACCTAGTTTAGTGAACATTATACGCAAACCTCACATTTAAAAGAATCTCTTCTTGCATCAAAACTTAATATGACCATTGTGGTTGGAAAAACAAGTCATACTTGTTTGTTTCCTTCTAATTAACAAAGGTTCGAGTTTTGATAGCATCACCTAAAAGAATCTGTTCTTGCAATTTACCAATTACATCATATGACCAGAAAAAAGTACCCATAAATCTATTAGCTAGATCCTTTCTCTATCAGCTAAGCAGAGAAGAACACAATCCACATACCACAATTAGCACTACCACACTCGAACACGGATTGGGGGCAAGCAAA